ACACAGGCCTGATTTCATCTTCAAGGACGACAATGCCCCAGCTCATCGAGGTCACATCATCAGGGAACGGCTGCTGGAGGCTGGGGTACTTCAAATGGAGTGGCCTGCACTTTCTCCAGACCTGAATCCCATAGAGACCCATGGGATCATCGGAGTCATCCTGTAGAGGGTCGTAACCCTGCACCCCAGAACCTCAGTGACCTGAGGGCAGCCCTTCAAGAAGAGTGCAATGCCATTCCTCAGCAGACAATAAGTCGTCTTGTGAACCGCATGAGACGTCGTTGTCAAGCTGTAATTGATGCTCGAGGACACATGACAAGTTATTGAGACATTGACATTTTGTGTTGTGGTATACCCACCACTGTTGTTAGCTTTTGTTTCTATGAATAGTTTGAGATTAGGAAATTACCATTGCATGCTTCTACTTACATGCCCTACTTTCATGATATAATATCACTGTTGCAGGAACTTTTTACATTTTCCATAAATTTCACCTGAATGTCAAATATCCCTTACTTTTTGTGAGTAGTGTATATTTAGAATATATTTAAAATATATTTTGGCCAGATTTTATTTTATTTTATTTTTTGGCATATGGGAAGTACTGTTTAATGTAGTTTGTCATTTTTTAAGGCTTATTTATTTTTACTCTTTTTGCTGACTCGTTCACTAATGTTCAATAGTTTTGAATCAGTGTTTTTTTTAATGAAAGGAATTAATACTTTTATTCAGCAAGGATGCATTAAATTGATTAAAAAGTGACAGTAAAGACATTTATAATGTTACAAAAGATTTCTATTTCAAATAAACGCTGTTCTTTTGAACTTTCTATTCATCTGTGAATCCTGAAAAATAAAATGTATCAGTTTCCAAAAATATTGGGCAGGACAACTGTTTTCAACATTGATAATAATCAGAAATGTTTCTTGAGCAGCAGATCAGCATATTATACTGATTTCTGAAGATCATGTGACACTGAAGACTGGAGGAATGATGCTGAAAATACAGCTGCGCAACACAGAAATACATTACATTTTACAATATATTCACATAGAATTTTTTTTTAATTGACTATTAATGCTGATGTCCTTCAGTCTGTCATGTTTGACCATCTCTGTGTGTGTGTGTGTGTTTCAGGTGTTGGAGCGTCTCTTCCAGAAGGGTTTCAGCGTGGCTGCTTCTTGCGGCGGCGGCGTGGACTCGTCTCAGTTCAGCGAGTACGTCGTGTGTCGCGAGGACAGGCGGAGTCAGTCCATGAACACGCCCATCAGGATAAAGCAGGAGCCGCTGGACTAGAGACACGCGCTCAGGCCCTCGGCCCCTCGACACACACACACACACACACACACTCTCACACACTCTCTCAGCGTTTGTACGGGGAATGTAATCAAACCAGAAACCCAAAGAACTCCAGCAGGATCTGAGTCACGCCCTGTTCCGCCCAAACCACCAATCAGAGGACGTCCTCACGCATACGGAATGCAGGCTCCGCCCCTCTGCTGGTGCAGTGTGTGTCATTATCTCATGACGATTGCGGCGTGATGCTTACGAACAAAAACGGCATCGTCAGGGGCCGGGGGCCCATTTTTTGGGATTGTTTTTCATTTCATCCTTGTTTCTAAAGACATTTTTCACTCCTTATAGCACCATGTTGTATGCAGTACTAGGCTGGAGTTTTGTGTTTATTTCTTTTGTTACATGAAGGATGATGGGAGTGGCGTTCTGAAGGCATTACATTTGAGAGACTTTCCTGGCAGGAAAACGCTGTTACACCCTCGAGCAGTCTGGGGTTTAATGCGTTCGGCTGCTGAAGGTTTCTTTGTTTAAAGGAGCTGCAAGCAAACGTGGCTATTTCTAAAGCCAGAGCGAGCCAGAACATTAAAGCATATCGTTAAACATCTGAAATTTTTATAAGCTCTCTAATGCTTGAATCAAATGGGTTCTGAACTATACAGAACCTACACAAAGAGTCGTGTGTGTCAAGAACAAAATGTAAGGAGCTCGAGGCAAAACATTGGCAGTGAAGACGTATGATCGTGTCAGTAACGGTACGTTTGCACTTAAATGCATCGCGAGATCGCGCAAAAACAAGCCTCCCGCGTGTTTAAAGATTCAGTGGAAATAGACTCAAATTGGAGCGTGCTGACAGAATGAGGGTACTAACTATGATGCATTAATTTTTAAACCATCTTTGTGAATGAATATTCACTATTCATTAGCCCAGTTTATCAGGTTTAGTTTGAAGTTGTCCGGTTTCTATTTTGATGTCAAAATGTTGTCAGATGCTGAGAAAACGGCAGATACGTTGTGAAAAAGGTGCTTCATCCGGTGTGTGTGTGTGTGTGTGCATGTGTGTGTGAGTGTGTGTGTGTGTGTGTGTGTGTGTGTGTGTGTGTATGTATGTGCGTGTATGAGATGAAGTCTCACGCAACGTTTACACTGGACAAAACTTCATCAACAGAGAGAACTAACAACCAAATCAACACTGCAGACGCACATTGTTGTGCTGTCTGTAAAAAAAAAAGATATTATTTGCAAATATCGTAAATCTAGTGCCATAAAGTTTAACATATGTAACTTTTTTAATTTAAAATTTGTAATTGTAACTGTTCCATCAAAGCCTACTTGATTTAACCCTTCTATTGTCCAGTTAAAAAAAATTATATATATATATATATATATATATATATATATATGATGTATAAATATTTACATAAATATATGCATTTTATACTATAACATTTATTAAATGGTGAACCGCACATGTGTAAACATTTTGAAGTTTAGTAAACAGCTTTTTTATTCCTTTACAAAATAGGTACAAATACAGAAGTATGTTCACACAAACAGAAATATTTCAGGATATGTACAGAATTTACCAAAAATAAGATAGTTCTGATAAACACAAGGTCTTGTAAACAATATATACAAATTATCCATAGATCGAAACAATAAATTCCAGCTGGGCACGTCAGTAATACAATATGAAGAGAGTGCTAATAATATTTTGGCTACAAAGCGTAAGTCATAGAAAGAGCCTCCAGCGGAAAACAGAAACCAGAAGACTAATAAAGTCGGTTTAAACAACCCAACAAATACATTTGTGCTTGTTTCGAACGGGACTGTCGGGGAATGAAGCGCTTTGCCTGAAAAGTGGCAAACGTGGATGCGAATGAGAAAATATAAACAGGTCCAAAATGAAATTTCCCGGACACAGACGAGTTTCACACACACACACACACACACACACACACACACACGCACAAACCGCAAAGCAATGGGATTCATGGTGCATAGAAGAGCGAGAGGATCCGTTTCTGACCGGACTCCGAGTGAAGAAAGGTCACAGAACTTGACCTCTCCTGACATCATGTACGGCGAACCCTCGCCAAAATAAATGCTTACAGGATTCGAGTTCTCTCGTGACTGAGCTTACGAATGCTAAATGAACGACGGACATCAATAACTTAAACCAGCTTAAAGTATCAGTTAATTGAAGGGATAATACTGAGTTTGAAACACAGGCGAGGGAAGTGAAATCCAGTTTTATGGTCCAGGCGGTGACAAAAATGAAACCAAAATGAATCTCTAATACTTTCATAATACATTGATTTATCAGTGCATGTTATTCTAAACCGTTTGCCTTCATAATCTAGTGCTGCTTTCAGTTCTGGTCGTGTTTATGAGATGAGAAACTTAGGATCTGTTGGGATTGGTACTTCTTTTCTCACTGAATATGGTGTTTGGTTGGGAAATGCATCACAAACAGAAGTCAGACGCTGACGTGACGTTCAGACGATGTGTTGGCTGTATTGCTATAGCTCGGATCTGCTGGCCTGATTTCGGGAAACACGCGATTCGTGCTCCTCGTGGACAAATATTAAAGCTACACGAATCACAATGACAGACAGAAGCTTCGTGATCGATTTAAAACGTTACTTTGTAGCTAAAATATCATGTGGAAATCATTTACACATGCTGTTAAAAACAATATTCATCAAAAAGTCTATTTACATCGAGACTCGCCGATAAAGGTTTTGAAAAAGAGTTTGTAGTCCACTTTGATGGGGTTTTAAATACTGCGACTGGCTGGACACTGATGATGATGATGATGATGATGATGCTTGGGAAAGTCTGCATATGTTTTAGAGAACGACGCGATTCTTTAACAGAAACGTACATTTATCACTTCGAGGCGTTTCGTCTCGGAGATCGTCACTGTAAGCGCTCGGTGCTGAATATACAGCAGAACGACGTCTGCACTGCGAGAAACACTCACTTCATCAGGATTTCTGATACTAAAAATATTGAATTATATCACAAAAATGCATGAAATATTACGATATTCTTGTTCAAAGCATAAAGAAAATGTAGTGAAGCTTATTTTAAAAACAAGAAAAAAAATCTTTGCTAATTTGAGAAAAATATACTTAAGATATACTCTATGGTCTTAATTCTCTCATTTTAGTAAATCGTTGCTAATTTTGTTAATTCGTTCCCTCATTTTAGCAAATCGTTGCCTATTTATACCAATTAATTCTCTCATTTTAGTAAATCGTTGCTAATTTTTATTACCGGTAATTAATTTCCTCATTTTAGTAAATCGTTGCCTATTTATACCAATTAATTAGTTTCCTCATTTTAGTAAATCATTGCTAATTTTTATTAATTTATTTCCTCATTTCAGTAAATCGTTGCTAATTTTTATTAATTAATTTCCTAATTTTAGTAAATTGTTGCCTATTTATACCAATGAATTCTCTAATTTTAGTAAATCATTGCTCATTTTTATTAATTTATTTCCTCGTTTTAGTAAATTGTGACCAATTTGTACTTACTTGTTCCTTCATTTTAGTAAATCAAAGCGAGGGAAAGAATTAGTACAATGTGATCATGATTTACTAAAATGAAGGCGTTGAATAGCAGACTGTGGTCACGACTGAACTAAAACGAGGGAACACATTAATAAAACAAGGGAATTCATTCTTAATTCATAGCCATCTTTTTTGGGGGGGGGGGGGTTTTTAGACTAAAATACTGATGAAGAACGTGGTATTTACAGTGTCAGATTCATTCATACACAGAAAACAAACAAACAAACACTCCTCGGCTCAAAGCCGGAGAGACAAGCCTTAAAATTCACTATCATAAATACAGTTTACCTAATAACGTTGAGGAGAAAACAGGAAACATGAAGCACATCTTGTTTTTTTTTTCTCTCTTTTTTCAGAGCTTTTCTATCAAAAGCAACGCTGACATCACGAGCTCACAGACACAGCGGCGGTGAACAGGGCTGAAGGCACGTCGCAGGGCTGAGAAGGAAGTCGATCGCTGCTCAGCAGTCGCTCAGCGTTGGCTACTTCAGGAGAGCGCGGTACAGTAAGAGAGATCTGCTGGTCTCTCGCTCCTGCTCCATGTAGAAGATGAAGTCCCTGAGGTTGACGCGTGTTATTCTCTGGCGGTTATACTGCCGTGACGAGCAGGACGGGGCCGACGATCCGCCCGGAGAACCTGCCGAACTCCCCGACACCTGACAACAAAACACAGTTCTCTTATTAATAAACACATTGCACGATCACGGCTTATTTTATTTCAAGTGCATGGGAGACTCAAGTTTGACATTCTAACAAACAAAAATTCATAACACGAAAACATTGGGTGAAATAGTCCATTTTAATGTACTGAAGTTATTTATGTGGTTCAGAATGGAATGAAATATATTTCATATCAAACTTTCTTGGATACATTTTTACTAAGCTTGCCGCAATGCACTCTGGGATTATCTTATCTGTGAAGGCCTTTTTGACAATATTTGACAATATTTTTGAATATTTGAAAGACAACGGTGTTCATTTTCTTATAACTTATAATTTACAGAAACTGGAATTTGCATTATAGTAAAAAATTATTAAATTAAATAATTATAAATACTTAGATATTTGAAAATAATTCAATTCCAATATTATAATCACTGAATTTTCATCAAGATTTACAATAAATGTACATGACTTTTGTACGTTTGTGAATACAGTTTTTTTTTTACTGCAATTCAAACCCGATTAAATACTTTAGAGCTTGACAATTTATATGAATCATTTATATAAATGTGTTTTTCAGAATGAATCAGATGTAGCTGCACTTCAGTCACTTTTTATACAGGCCAACACTGGCATAAGGGATAAAAGCTAAACTGATTTCAGCATTTCTGATGTTATTATGAGCATAAATGTCTTTTCTTAAACTTAAATACCACTCGCTCTGTCTCAAATGGGTTTATTCTTCCGCTCACATTCTGCTCGTCTGCTTCTTTCAGTATAAACTGAAGCAGAAGTCAAATAAACACACGGATTCTTACACACTGAGTCAGACTCTGTCTTTCATGAGCAACAGAAAAATATCGGATAGTAGAATCAACGCAACACAAAATAAGAACGGAAACGATGTCTCACTCTCCAATAGACGTCGCACAATTAGACTTGATTGTGCTCGGTAAACACAACAGTGAGACACGCAGGCCTAATAGAAAGCAGCTGACGCGTACGGCTCTCGTCTCCGGTGAGCCATCAGCAGATCTGACGGGTGGAGTGTGCTGAAGTGGGGTGAATTCAGGACAGGCAGCGCGCGAGGCGCCCTCGGGGGCCCGGGACCTCCAGAAGAAGGATCTGGCCTCATCAGGCCAATCAGAACTGACCTCATGTGAAAGGCGGGCATGCCTTCTGCCATGGCAATTAATGCCAATCACAGCCTGGACCAATCAAACGCATCCATCTACCTGGACACGCTGACGGGCCTCTGGCGGGTTTGTGTGCTCAACATTCGCGCGCAGGTGTGTGCTTGAGAGATGAGAGAAAGACAAACAGACGAAGGAAGAAAACGTGCTTAGGGGAAGAAGAAAAAAACACTTAGTGTTGCCAAAGATTTTCTGAATTGTGAATACAACCAAATCAAGGACTTTTAAGCAGCTAGCAAGACGGTGAATGTTTGTGAATCGTTTACAACAATTGCGCAAGTATGCTTTCAGGATACATGATGTTCTGTCCCTTTAAAATCATCAGGAAAAAGTATGAAAGTCTTAAGGGAAACAGTTTGAAAGGATTGTGAAATGAACCACAGGTAAATAGTGCAGTTCAACAGAGATCAAGCTAATCAAACCAACAAAAAATCTGAAAATAAAATGCAATCAAATGCCTTTTATTTGTGTGTTATATTAGTATTATTTATATAATATATATTAGTATATACTAATATATGTTATATATTAGTAATGTATTATATATATAGTTTTTCTTAATATTTTGAATTTTTATTTTTTTAATTTACATTTTAGCAATATTTTTATGTGTTTGTAATCTTTATGAGTTCTTTTCTGAATATTTCTATTTAGTTCCATTTGTTTTTCAATTTTAGTTTCAGTATTTTTACATAAAGTTTTTCATCAATTTTATTTCAGTTTTATTTCAACTAATGAAAATTATTTTATTTTATTTTACTATTTTATTTTTAGGTTTAGTTAACAATAACATCATTGCAAATGCATAGTGCACTATATGATTTATTAAAAAAAAATATTGACCTGAGATTCGATCACATGACATCAAACCAAAATAAATAAATGAATCAAATAAAATAAAACAAAACATTTTTGTTTATTTGTTGTATAATGTAATGCAGCAGCTATTTACACCGGTGCAAAAAAGGTAAATGTTATTTCCACTGTTTAAATACAAACAATATAAATGTTTAAACAATATAAATAGTAGCAGATTCTTTGGAACAAGTATAAATGGTAACATACAGCACATCCAAATAAGCCAGTATAAATATTAATAGATGCTGTTTACACAAAGTCTGAACAGAATTATAAAAACTATAAAACAGCTCTACAGAAGACATCAGTGCAATTATTCAGCTCAGTTCAGTGTTGATTCAGTTTAGTTCAATAACTGCGTAAAGTTAATCAATTATGAAACAATTCAGCTATAAGCATCTCTACAGAAGACAGCAGTGTCATTTTTCAGCTCAATTCAGTTCAGTTGATTCACTTCAGTTTGATAACTGTTTAAAGTTCATCAATTATGAAACAAGCTTAGTTCAGCTATAAGCATCTCTACAGAAGACAATAGTGTCATTTTTCAGCTCAGTTCAGTTCAATGTTGATTCAATTCAGTTCAATAACAGTATCGATGTTGCAAAATTAATCAATTATGAAATGAATCTGATTCAACTATAAAGCAGCTCTATAGAAGACAATAGTCTGAATATTCAGCTCAATGCTCATCTGGTAGTATCAAAGCCATCAAACTGATAATATTACACACACACACACAGAGAGAGAACGATTCACTTGTGCATTTAAATGCATGTGTCTCGGCTGAAAGTTTGCTGTGTTTTCTGGCCTCGGGAACACAGATTGGCTCCGGAGCCTGCAGGGCCACACGGAGGAAGAGTAAGTGATCCGAATGCAGGCAGAAAGGTCAGTCCTCCATCGGCGCTCACATCTTTCCTCCCACTGTACGAGTCCTACAGCCAACGCCAATAACCCAAACACAGCCCTGTTGATGTCTGTTTCCATGGAGATCCGTGCATCTCGCAACCTCACGTTAACAAGTACATAAACACACACACTCACACACACACACTCAGCTGATTCAGACGAGCCAAACACACCGAATGACTGCTAATCTACATTCGGGATTGTCGAATCAGTCGACGAGACGTGGGTTTGGCGAAGGTCAGCGTGGAGCTGAAGGAAGCGGAGAAGAAAAGATTTGTGGGAAGGCAAAAATCCGTGAGGCAAAAAACAGCATCTGTCATTTTATCAGCGCTGAGCCGCTGGCGGGCGTAATGTCATATGACATATCCATCCGACAGCTAGCACACGGATACCTCCATACATCTTCTCAGACAATTTCTGACTGCGTGCACGTGTTTGGAGCAGAGAGAGACGAGCCTGCAGCCTCCTCACCAACACAACACTCATGACAATTTTTTTTTACTGCAATTCAAACCCGATTAAATACTTTAGAGCTTGACAATTTATATGAATCATTTATATAAATGTGTTTTTCAGAATGAATCAGATGTAGCTGCACTTCAGTCACTTTTTATACAGGCCAACACTGGCATAAGGGATAAAAGCTAAACTGATTTCAGCATTTCTGATGTTATTATGAGCATAAATGTCTTTTCTTAAACTTAAATACCACTCGCTCTGTCTCAAATGGGTTTATTCTTCCGCTCACATTCTGCTCGTCTGCTTCTTTCAGTATAAACTGAAGCAGAAGTCAAATAAACACACGGATTCTTACACACTGAGTCAGACTCTGTCTTTCATGAGCAACAGAAAAATATCGGATGGTAGAATCAACGCAACACAAAATAAGAACGGAAACGATGTCTCACTCTCCAATAGACGTCGCACAATTAGACTTGATTGTGCTCGGTAAACACAACAGTGAGACACGCAGGCCTAATAGAAAGCAGCTGACGCGTACGGCTCTCGTCTCCGGTGAGCCATCAGCAGATCTGACGGGTGGAGTGTGCTGAAGTGGGGTGAATTCAGGACAGGCAGCGCGCGAGGCGCCCTCGGGGGCCCGGGACCTCCAGAAGAAGGATCTGGCCTCATCAGGCCAATCAGAACTGACCTCATGTGAAAGGCGGGCATGCCTTCTGCCATGGCAATTAATGCCAATCACAGCCTGGACCAATCAAACGCATCCATCTACCTGGACACGCTGACGGGCCTCTGGCGGGTTTGTGTGCTCAATATTCACATGCAGGCAGTGTTTCAGAGATGAGCACTGGGTGCGGGTGTTTGGACCAGAGAGAGAGGAGCCTGCAGCCTCCTCACCAACACAACACTCATGACAATCTGCCAGCGGCACCAACACACACACACACACACACACACACACACATACATACGTGTCTTCACACCATCAGAGCACGGAAACACTGACACTGACCGGTAACGAGTGAATCAGACCTCATTTACACAACATGTGTGTGCTCAGATACATGAAACTGATTCCTTACACTGCTGAATCAGATTTTGGCTCATAATCTGGAAATGGGAAACAGAACATGATTTAGTTCTGTTTTTTATAAACAATACAAGAACCAAATGATTTTCATGATATTTAGTTTAGAAAGAGAATGTTATGACCAAAACCTTACTAAAATCTAGTTTGTCAATTGATTCTACATCCTACATAAATAAATAAATAAATAATCAAGGAAGTAAAGTTGTTAAACTCCATAGATTGTTATGATGAAATTAAATGAAAATTAAATTAAATAATAAAGATTTAAATCTGTTGAGAGACTCAATATGACATTGTATAATAACTCAAATACATCTTGAGGATTTTTTTCTAAACAAATGAAATCATTCAAATCTAATTAATAACAAAATAAATAAATAAACATATTAGATTTAAATCTGTTGAGAGACTCGATATGATGCCTAAATATTTATTTCTAAACAAATACATTAAATTCCTAAATGTCGTAAATAAATAAATAAATAAG